ATGAACAGACAAGCAGGCTTCTTCTGTTGAACCAATCAGTGAGGAGCGTTCACCCCGCGGTGTGGTCAGAGGAGGAAGACGGGGGTGGTGTTTGCGGCGTGATAAGCCGTGCGTTGTTATGTAACAGACACGCAGCTGAAACTTCTGAGGAACTCTTGAGCTTTTTTGTCTTCTGGGGGTTTTGTTGTTGACTCAGAGAGGACCCGGCATCGCACACGGCTCGCTGACGCCGCTGACCCAGGTGGAAAACTGCAAACTTTCAGACTTGATTCCTTTTTACAGACTTTGGATAAAAGCCCAAAGTTTAGTTTCCGTCTGAATCATTTTTCAGATTTTCCTTGTGTTTCAAAGAGGAACCAAACACGTGTCCAGCGAGCGGCGTGCTGAACTTGATTCATCACATTTGCACCGTGGCTAAATTGGAACTGATCCAGAGACTTTAGGCTTCGGTTCTTACTGTATAACTGTGTTCCAGTTTCACAGACGTGTATTTGTGGTTTCCTCAGACCGAGTGACTTTCCTGCCAGGGACGTTCCAGAACGTGAACGTCTCGCAGAACGAGACGGTCCAGGCCGTGGTGTCCGGGATCCCTCCGGGGGTGGCCTTCGTCACGCTGCAGTTCCACACGCAGCACCGCAACGCCACGCTGTCCTACACGAGGGTGAGAGACTCCTCCAGTGACTCAAAGGGTTTCAACAGCTGTGATTTTTAGAGTAGCGTCAAGACGTGGACTGATCAGTCATCAGCAGGCGAACATCTCAGCAGCAGCATCACAAACTGAATTAGAGCATTTCATGTATGGACCAACCCGCACCCCGTACGTCACCTGAGGGAACCTGTTGGTCTAAGAAAGAGTTTGCCATGAAGCAAGAGCTAAAAATGTCTCCGTAAACAAAAGGACTCTGAAAGGTCACATTACAGGCAGTATAAACCACAACCAAACAGCCGAAGTAGCTTAAATGGTTTTAAGAGCTGTAAAAGGTCCCATGTGATCTGAAACATTATGAACACTCAATGTCTTACCTGTTGTAGATGGCTCGTTATTCTGCCTCGATTTGGAGAAAAATAATAAAAACAAATTTTAGCTTCAAAATGTCCATTTTGTTGTTTACATGGAATGTTGTGGTTAAATGCAAGCACAAGCAGCAGCAGTTAGCTGTAGCACTTCTGGTGCAGCCTGTGGCTCGTAAAGAGTCTTCAGGTGAGTTGATATTTATTTTTAGACTGGAGTCGTTTTGAGACGTCGGGCTCGGACTAGCAGTTAGCTCGTCGTTCCAGTTAGAAACAAACTATTTCTCCAATCTGAGGTCGTTCAAAGAGCTATCTGCAACAGGTAAGATACTGTTTCTTCATAACATTTGCACTGAACCCTCACTACTAACGCATTTTCTCAAATTGCTTCAATTGCAAAGTTTTTTTTTTTTCTTTTTCAAACTCAAGTTCAAGTTAATGTGAATACAAATATGTATATTTAATATAAAACATGGTTATTGACAATAAAACAAACAAACATAGACATGAATATCAGCTGTCCTGGTCTGAAAATAATGAATAGGAGTAAAAAATACCACAGAGCTGCTCTGTATTTGTAATAGGATCAGTATATGATTTATAAAGTTAGATCGACTAATAAACATTTCTGGGATGTTAAAAATTTTGTTGAAAAAAACACTTTTTCTTCCATTTTCAGTCTTTCAGAAAACGACCTGATTAAAAAGACGAATTCCCCAAATGAAGCTTTATTTTGAAGTATTTAAACATCCTGCTGAACAGAATTCCTCCTCGTCTCTTTTGTTTGCTATAACCAACACAACTTACGTGATGGGAATAAACCACGTGATGGGAATAAACCACGTGATGGGAATAAACCACGTGATGTAATATCACGTGAAGAATTTAAAGACGTTTAGTTTTTCGTGTTGCTGCCGGCGAACCTTTAATCTTTTAAAGTCTCCTCTGACTTCAGCTGTGGATTAATGCAGCGTTCACAAAGAATCAACTGTTCGTTTTTAAAGATGGTAGAATATCTAGAAAAAAACAAGTTAAATCAGCTCAACGAATGCGTTTAGTCACATCCTGAGTTCAGTGATGTTGGGGCGTCGCGTGACGCAGGAAAGCCGAAGACGTGACAGTGAAATTTTACAGCCGTGTTTCATGGAGTTTCACAGGCAGTCGGTTCTGCCACTGCGTTATGAACGAGGCTTTGTGAGCCGGGTCGTCTGACCCCCTGAGAGGAGGCTCGGTCAGCTGACGTGGAGTCCACGGGTCATGAGCTGCAGGCCCGGCGTCTCTGAGGGGGGAAACGTCTCGGAGGGAACGCTTTCTTTTACCGTTTGTCGTTTATTTTAAGAGCCTGGTTACTGCTGGCGACTGAAGGGATGTTGGAGCTGCACGTTGTGTTGTGAAGCTGCAGCGTTTCCTGTTGGAGGCAGTTACAGTAGATTACCTGCGGGTTAACAGATGCGCTCAGTCGAAGCCACTTTGAGCAACACTTAGCCAACATTCTGCACATGATCGTGTTGGAGAATGCGTTCATTGTCTGAGGGCTGTGCTGTAGGGTGCACGTGTCAGCAGCGCTGCTCATCAGCTGCAGATACTTCACTGTGTGAGACAACAGCTGTGCATCAGCCCTCCTGTTTGTGATTGCACGTAAAGTTTCCACAATCAGAGCTCCAACTCTGAGAGAGATGGCCTAAAATAACATTAAGCTCCGATGAAGAGCAGCACATATCCACACAGTGGCTCAGCATATTTCTTAACAAAAGGTCCAAATGCAGGAGCAGCGTCTTTATAAAGTTGTGTTTTCATGTCTTCACTGAACACTGAAATATTTGTCTGTAAAACTGTGGTTCCAAACACTAGTCTCTGAGGAACGCCGTCCTGCATGTTTGAGTTGTTTCCCTGCTCCAACACACATGATTCAGTGATTTGATTACTTCCTGAAGTTCTGCCAAAGCCTGTTAAGCACCCATTCATTAAAATCGAGTGTGCCGAAGCAGGGAAACAACTAAAACATGCAGTATGGCGTTCCTCAGGGACCAGGGTTGAGAACCACTGCTGTAAAAAAGAGCTGAAAACATGACTGTCTTTAGTGATAACGTCGCAACGTTTGATTTGTGTTTACAGTTTTAGTGATAATACGATGCTAACTGTGCTAGTGTTTCTATGACATTTTCAATTGTTACCACGCTAATGTAGCACATAGCTGATGTAGCAGATAGCTGATGTAGCAGATAGCTGATGTAGCA